AAAAAGATAGGACACTTTCCTTACAGAATATTAAATCGGATGACAAAAAAATGAAACAATTCACAGGATTAGTATATGATGAATTTAATTGTTTGTTTGAATTTTTAGGAGAGAATGTTGATAAGCTAACATATTGGGATGGTAAAAGTTTAAACAACAAATGCACCAACACTAAAAAAAGTATATAGAAAACTGGATCCTCAAGAAGAACTTTTCCTGACTTTGGTTAGGTTAAGGAGAGGGTATAAGTCTCTATACATTGGCTCATTTTTTTGCAATAGCAACTTCAACAGTCAGTGTAATTTTTCGAACCGGGATCCAGTTCTTATACTGCCATTTTAATGACTTTAGATGCAACATGTTTCCAGAACGACAGCATTTTAAAAAAGATTTACCAAGTGTATTTGAATTTTTTGTTCAAATGCCAAAGGACTTCCGTCGTCAAGGAAACCTTTATTCTTCATATAAACACCATCACACATATACATATAAAAGCCTCATAGGTGTAGCTCCGAATGACTCTATAGTGTTTGTCTCTGATTTATACGAGGGGTCTATCAGTGGCCGTTCAATTGTTGAAAAAAGTGGATTTTTGCAACATATTAATCCAGGCGATCTTGTTTTAGCTGACAGAGGATTCACCATTGAAGATTTATTAATGACACGACAAGCCTCTTTAAACATTCCCCCTTTTCTTGGAAAAAGAGAAAAGTTCAGAGCACAGGAAGAGTTACAAACTCGGCGCATAGCCAAAGCACGAATTCACGTGGAGAGAGTTATTGAACGGGTGAAAAAGTTCAAACTCCTAAGTGGAAATATTCCATTATCCCTTTCACCTATTGTAGACCAAATGGTATTTGTATCGTGCTGTCTTGTTAATTTTCAGGAACCACTGGTGAAATAAGTTTATGTATATTTAGTTTATTCAGATATAATAGGATGCATAAGGAAACAAAAACATATATATATAGAGAGAGAGATTATAGTATTATAAAAACAATAGTATGACTAGTTTTTAACTGTACATCTCGAGATTCTTACTGAAACGTTATTTATCTGAATTGAAAATAATTACATAAAATTACACCAAAAGACATGTATATTATAGTTCCACTGCTTTTTATATAACCACATTTTATATTGTGTAGATTTTTTCAAGTCTCTAAACAACCTTTCAGTGCTATTTACCTAATATTGTTTATTTAGTCTGCTCAGAATGTAGTATTTTGTATTTCTAATACATGTAAATGGTCTCACCATTGGGTGGCTTATTTATTTAGCCAATTATCTTGTTTTTTTGTGAAAAATCTTGTTACATTTTACTTCTGATTGTTACTGTTAATTAATCTCTGTAAATGGCTTTATCATGCCTATATTACATGTATATATTAACCTCAAGTTTACTAAATGTTTTTGTGCTTGATAATGATAAGACGATACTTCTCGAAAAATGATGTTTTTAGAATAAACCAGTGATTCTGTCCCATACACATTGTGTTCTTTTAATATATATTACTATGTACACACACTAATGCCACCTACATGCATGAGTTTTGATCAATCTTTAATGGACCCCAAAATTAATAATTAAATCTAAGTCATGGAAATGAGGCACAGCAACTTTAAATTGCTTAGTATTAGTCCAATATTACAGGCTTAAGATTTCTTGGAATGCGCATTTCCAATATTTCTGCTGCAACAACTTTGTCCCATAATGTTGTAATATTTCCCAACATTTTTTATATCAGATGTTCACCATGTCTGATTCTTTAAATATTAGGAATACCAACTTCAGACCATAAAACAAAGTCACACCATTTAAGCCCAGTTATAGCCAACTGGAATTGGATTTGAAAATAATACTGGTGTGTAGTTTTAAGTTTCAGTGCAGAATTTTTTGATGTCGGTATTTCAAAACAGGCACTGTACAAATCTTTTCTTTTCACTGTTTGTTTTTCAATGTTTTCATATAAGTTGAAAGGGGCAGTTGTTCGAAACAGTTTTAAACATTTGATTTCAACTAATCCATCTTTTTCGTTTTCAGATGGGTCTGTAACAAGTCCATCTGGACTGCATCCCAACTCAGGCCATAATTTATTGACCCAAAACCCAGTTTTGTTGACTTTAAAATCTGGTATTTTAGTCATCATAAAGGCATGGTAATATTGACGGGCTTGATCTTCATGTTCTACACCATATATCATGTCAGTTGATGTAAACGGATTTAAGTTCCACACAGAATTACTTATAAATGATTGTAATTTCTTCAGTGTTTGATCACATGAAGGGAGAGCTATCAAACTACCTAAATGGTTAGCTTGCTTTGCAGTTGAAGCCGTTATTCTAAACCATCTACTTGTATTCCATTCCAAAGAATCTACCTGACATTCTGTATCTACAACCATAAATGCATCAGTCTGATAAGTCTTGCATTCTTCTTTCAAATTTATGAAAAATGATTCAACTAAGATCCTTAGAGAAGATTTTCTTTCATCAGATAAAACATAGTCTGTATATATAAAGTCTATTAAGCTTCCCCACATTGATAAACTGCCTCGCTTCATTTTTAAATAGTTCAAGGAAACAGCAAAATCATTAATTTTTTTAACAGAATTATTCCTGTCAGATTGTGGTCTAGGGTCAAATTCACATAACCTTGCCCGCTTTTCTTTGTAGAAGCCATAGGTTGCACTGGTTACTTTTCCTGGGTTCTTGTTCTTTTTGCCTTTTCCCCATTCACACGGCTTACTTGTACAAGCTTGCTGACCATAACCAAACTCTTAACATTGTTTATCAATGGTTAGAAGTACTGCTGCAACATGGTTACAACGACCGAGGGCAGATCCTGGACAAGTACAACTGGCGTCCCTAAGAGCGCCGCTGATACAGGAAATGGTCACATGAACACTTCTATATTCATTTCTCATAGAGGCTGCTACTGTTGCTTTCACATAGTAGCATCCATTGTGCTCAGTGTCCATGATATCTGTAACATGAACAATATTTTGACATATTGTTCACCCTTGGTCAGGGGATCACGTGGCTAAGTGGGTAAGACGCTAGCTCGCTAGCCTGGAGGTCGGGTGTTCGATCCCTGCATTGGCCGAGAAAGTTCATCCAGATTTTCCGGCGTGGTTCTCCCTTGTCAGTGATGCAGGACGGAGGGGTTGACAAGGAAAGCTGTCTAGTCGTTCGGATGGGACGAAAAACCGAGGTCCCGTGTACACATTGGCGTGCACGTAAAAGATCCCTTGGCAGTTGGAATTCGATATAAGAGTAGGCGATAGTGCCGCTGCCCGGGCAAAATTTCCCTCATAGCACACTGTATGGCGTATGCCCGTCTTCATTAGCCCAGGTTAGGAGCAGAACAGTAGGACGTTAAACTCCATTTCATTTCATTTCATTTCACCCTTGGTCAGAGGGTTAGATGTCATATGTGACAAGTTTGTGTCATCTTTTTTGCCACCCTCGCCTATCAAAACTACACTCTCTAATAAGTAATAATATATGTGTCCATAGTTAAAGTTTTCTGGTATTCGAACTGAAGGAAAGGCTTTCCATCCTAATAATGGTGGTATACTAGGGTTTTTCTTTTCATCTGTTTTTACCGACTGTTTGTTTGATTTGATATCAAACCATTTTCCCCCATCAACACCAATGTCAATTAGCTCTTGTTGTCGGGCGCGTCGAATTACCCAATAACACCCAATAACTGCCTAATAACACCCAATAACTCCAAAATAACAACCAATTACTACAAAATGTTGACTTTGGAAACACAAAATAACAATATAGTTGAATTTAAGAAGCATCGCTGCTTTGTGTCCAAATTGGAGTTTCACGCTCACTCGCCTGAAGGGAGATAACTCGTATATGTGATTTTTGTTGACAAGAAATTATTAACATCCAATAACAGCTCAATAACACCAAATTGTTGACTTTGGAGATACAAAATAACAATTTAGTTGAATTTAAAAGCCTCGCAACGTTGAGCCCAAATCAGAGTTTTACGCTCACTCGCCTGAAGGGAGAGAACTCGTGTATGTGATTTTTGTTTACAAGAAATTAATGTATGCTTTCGTTGCAATTCGTTTTAATTGCGGATCATGTTTGAAAGAAACTCGCGATATTCAAAGCTTATATTGTAAAGTATGTCAACGTTGGTGCCATTCAGATTGTGAGAAAGTAGATACTACTCAGTTGAATTTTTTTCAATGTTCAAGTGAAGACTACATATGTAGGTCTTGCAGATCCAACTGTGCTGGTTTTGATATTCAAATCGGAGTTTCACGCTCACTCGACTGAAGGGAGATAACTTGTGTATGTGATTCCCCGGTTATGGACTCAGACTAGCAATTGTTTGCCCATTGACTTCAATGTTAAATGGCTGTAACATCACAAGGCTGTAGCTCTTTGCTCAACATTCCGTTGGTTCCAATCTTTATAGGCACAATGGGGACCACATTTGGCAATCTCCTCATCATAATTTTGTAGGGGGTTGACCGTTTGGATTTTTTGCTACGGGGATTTGAAGTTGACTGGGGTGAAAATCTTACTTCCGACACAATGATTGCTCTGCAGAAAGACACTTTACACCCCCTATCCCTCCGCTCTAATATCATCAGTATTACCCAAAACTGCGATGAAATTGCAAATTTGATCCCTTTTCTCCAATTCTAGACCAAAAAGTCAACCAAAAAATGCAGGAAGAGGGGAGAAAAAAATTAAGGGAAAAATTGTCTATTTATAACTCGCATTACATTCTTCCATCATGAAATAAGGGGAAATAATTACTAGTCTTAGTCCTATATACCTCACATGTTTCTGCAGTTTAAACAAATCTGTTGTTATCTAATAAACAAACATATATGCAATTCCCTGGCCAAAGAATATGAAAATCTATGCATTTTCAGATGAGCTGTGCGGCATTCTGCAAACACTATAATACACCAGAAAACTGCTGAATTTCAGACAGAAATAGAAAAGCACATGAATTTTGAATTAAACAGAACATTTTTATTTTTGAACATAAATGCATTCTGTAAAAAGATAACAAAAATTCAATATAAATCAAACAAGAAAATCCTTTAAAACAGTAATTATCATGTAGTATTAGATTTTTTTTAACATTTTCATCGAAAAGCACATAGTTTTTCTCTGTTAACGCAGTTTCAAGTGCCAAATTGTGGTCAAATCTAAGATGTTGAAACATGCAGTGCCTATAAATTTTAAAATGTCTCCTACATAGCTGTATTTACATAGGACAATTAAGTTCAGATAATCTGATTATGTAACACTACAACAGTTTTATGATCGCCACCCCCTAGTATGGAATCTGATACATGGCTGACCAATCATAGTTCTCACTCTTCATTCTGGTCTGTCAAATGATTTACAATGGTGATGGTACCTACAACTTTCCTGGCCCAGAGATATGCACAACAGTCAACATACAAGCCATTTATGTTATCTTCCAATATGAGAGGCCATAATAAACGCAAGGCTGTCTTTTTCAAGCTCGGAAATGAAGTCAACACTAAACAGCAACGTTTACAGGGGTTCTCGGCTGGAACCCAAACCGATTATGATTTGCCCTCAACTTCCACAGGTGTCACAGAGATCAGGGGTGAAATTAATATGCATCATCTTTCTACTGAAGCCAGTCCGGGAAGTCATCGAGTTTTGAGATGTAGACCTGAAATGTTAAATTTGGATGAGACTGAGAATTCTGAGGCGAACACTATCCAGGGAAACAGGATTATAGACATCCAGAAAATGTTCGAAATATGGAATTATGTCATTCCGTTACATGCTCAGGGGAGAAGAAAGGCCTGTGCAGTACCAAATTTCCAGCCTGTTAGTGAGCAGAAGTGGGGAGCGGGTTGGATGTACTCTGTAAAGTGTACAAAATGTACATTTATCTAACCTGTGTACAAGTTATATAAAGAGATTCCAACTGGGAAACCAGGAAGAAAGGCAGCCGCTATTAATCTGACCCTACGCTATTAATCTGACCTGTTAGACATGCCGGTTGGAAACACCAGAGCTCGGCTTCTGTTGACAGATTTGGATATTCCACCGCCCTCTCGGAGTGGCATGCAGACTCTTTCTAACCAAGTTAGTGCTAAAATGACAAGGTTGAACACTATTAACACGAGGGAAAAAATAGAAGAAGTTAAATCTTTCAATCAGAAGGGAGGGTCAGTATAATAAATGTTGCAGTGGATGGGCGTTACAACAGCATAACCATAGGCCACAGTAAAAAGCCAGGGCAAGCAGCCTCGCAAGCCATTTGAATTGCATGCGAGACAAACACAAAGCACAAATATATCCTGAGTAATGTGATGCAAAATAAACTGTGCTGGCAAGGTGCCTGGCTTAAGGGAAAAGGTTTTACGGTCAACTGCCCTGGGGGACATGAAGGCTGCACAGCAAATTTACCAGTCCACGCACCATTATCTGAGTATGATATGGGGAAAAGCATTGGCACAGAACTAGCTCTCCAAAACGTCCTCATTAAATATGCAACAACAGATGGAGATGGACGATCAGCTGCTGGAATTGAAGATAGTTTAAAAATTTTGCATCCGATGTGGAGTGTGGAGCGACTAGCTGACCCTTCGCACCTGGCTGCCACTCAATTTAGGTACTGCTATAATGCAAAATTCAGTGACGAGATGTTTCCTGGTAAAACCAGACTGGATATGGGCAAGATCAAGAAAATACTGAGCCAAGATGTAAAAGCTAGATGCAGTCTAATCATGACTACATTGTTTGAAAATCACAGTGGTAATACTGAGGAGATGTGAAAACGCCAACCAAAAGTCCTAGAGTCCACTATCATGTGTTACGATGGTGACTGCTCAAAGTGCCGCCCTCATTCTGTTGTGTGCCGGGGTGGGATAACAAATAACTGGTGGAACCGTTCCATGTATCTGGCCTCAAATAAAGTTGATTCCCTGAATATGAATGAAAATGACAAATCAATTCTAAGTAAATTTTTAAAGATCCGAATAAGTGAAGCCGCTTTAGAAAAAAACAAATTCCAAACAAACACACAGAAATGTGAGGCCATCAACCGCTCGTTGAGTGTTTCACTTCCAAAGAATGTAAATTACGGAAGAAATGCGATGGGTCGACTTTCCTCAACAATATTGAGAAGCAATGATGGAATAAAGAGTGCCACCGAGCAGAAAGCTAAACTCCTTGGGGGCCCTCTTTCTCCAAAGACAAGATATTCCCTGCGACAAATAGAAAGAGAAAGTCTGTACCACAGAGAATACCAATCCAGACCCGAAGTGCAAAGACAAGCACTACTGCTGCGTGGACGAAAGCTTCATGAATTCCGTGAGTACAAGAATTACTGTCCAGTTGAATCCGGCTACAAAAAAGGCCATTTAGACCAGCCATCAACAGCAGACGACACTTTACAGGATCACAGCTATAGTAAATAAGCATGACAGACAAATGTAAGCCATTGTCATATACCCACCTTTTGCCTTAATACTTGTGTTGAGGTCAATCCTTCCACTCTTGCACAGTGAGTAACCTGATACCTGAAATGATAGAAAGATGGGAATAAATATGCAATAAAAAAAGAGTAAGCAAATAATAATAAAAAAAATAAAAAAATATGTGGTTGAATAAGAAGGGAGACCTCCTTGCGGTTTCAACTGGAAATAGAAATAATATGCCTCTTTATTTCTAGCGAACATCCCTTCAGTGGCCCTCCAACAAGAAATTAGTTAACAATCAATAAAAAAAAGTAAAACTTGAGTGTGACATACATCTAAGCCAGTCTCAAATGTAGAAGACACCTGCTGTAGGCACCATGGCCAAAGCAATGGCCATTGGATTTGCAATACTGTCTGTTGTTATTTATATAGTGCGACTCAAAACTGATGTGACTGGCATTCGTACACAGGCAGTTGTGGCAGACATGCGAACAATCCATATTTGAGGGCAAATCAAAACTTAAAGCCATGGTCACCATAAAGGACAGTCTGTGGACACCGGTGGATTTCCAAACCCCTGTTAATGGGCACTTAAACGACATCCTCCCATATCTTGCATCTGCCGACTTCAAGCCCTGCCATATCCTGCATTCCCCATTTTCACTCAATAAAGACGAATGCTCAATTTTCTCATAAATCCTACGATAAAAATCTGCCATTTTGAAAAAAAACCACATGCCACTAGATAACTAGAAACATTGTAATACACTATTCAGTGTTTTGATATGACATCATGCAACAAAATGTAAACATTTACCCCAAAATTCACACTCTGCCAACGGATACCCCAAATAATGGCTATTTTGATAATATTCTTACCATTTCTGACACTTCCCATTCAAAACTTCAGGAAATAAGTGGCTGCGAAAATATCTGCATTCATAGCCTGCGTACTATTTAGGACTAGCAATTGTTTGCCCATTGACTTCAATGTTAAATGGCTGTAACATCACAGGCTGTAGCTCTTTGCTCAACATTCCGTTGGTTCTAATCTTTAGAGTTTTTGCTACGGGGATTTGAAGTTGACTGGGGTGAAAATCTTACTTCCGACACAGTGATTGCTCTGCAGAAAGACACTTTACACCCCCTATCCCTCCGCTCTAATATCATCAGTATTACCCACAACTGCGATGAAATTGCAAATTTGATCCCTTTTCTTCAATTCTAGACCAAAAAGTCAACCAAAAAATGCAGGAAGAGGGGAGAAAAAAATTAAGGGAAAAATTGTCTATTTATAACCCGCACTACATCATGAAATAAGGGGAAATAATTACTAGTCTTAGTCCTTATACCTGACAAGAATTAGTGTCGTCTGTCCAGAATCAGAAATGACATAGTGGACGTTAAACCTCATCCCTCTATCTACATAACTATTGCTCACGACAAAGTATTTTGTGTACCTTTTAATCCTTATATACTATTCAAAAAAAGTAGGGGATATTTGATTTTGGGGGCATAATACTAAAATATGCAAATGACTACGAAAAAAGTCACTATAGAACCTAACAGAAGAAACATTTCCAGTTACATGTGACGCCCAAACGCACCAAAAGCTACCGCATGAAATGCATGTGATGCTTGGGATCATCATGGGGGTCCAACCCAAGATTTGCACGACTCTGACTTTGAATGTTACAGTCATTGTGGCATTGAATTCCAGGGTGGAAACATCAGTTTAATTGTTTTAGTGACCAGAAAACAAATTTTGATATGCGTCGGCTTACCCAAAATGAAAGGTTACGTGCCCTTGGCATGCTACAGATCGGCACAACAATCTGTACAGGACAGACCACGCTTAGGTCGACCAAGGGCGACAACTCAAGCCCAGGATCGATTTATCCGTACCTTGGCCTTGAGAAATCGTGTCATCACAGCAAATCAGATCAGCGCTCGTCTTCAAACAGACACTGGTGTGAGAGTGAGTGGCCAGACGATTCGGAATCGACTGCACAGGGGTCACCTTCGCGCCCGACGTCCTCGCGTGATCCCTTGTTTGAGAGATCATCACATTCAGGCAAGACGTCGTTGGTGTAGGGATCGTCAACACTGGGATAATCGACGCTGGAGCAATGTGATGTTTTCAGATGAGTCAAGGTTCACTGTTGATTTTTTGGAAAGACGTAGGAGGGTGTGGCGTCGTCGAAACGAGCGCTTCCAAGACGTTAACGTCATCAGACATGATCGATTTGGGGGTGGTTCTGTTATGGTGTGGGGAGGCATCACTGTTGCTGGAAGAACGGCTTTACATGTTGTTGCAGGGCGTGTTACAGGTCAGTACTACCGGGACAACATCTTGGCAGTCCATGTTGTGCCGTTCGCACGACGTCATGGCCGCCGTTTCATCTTCCAGGATGACAACGCAAGATGTCACAGGGCCAGGATCGTTACAGGTTACCTCCAACAACAGAACATCACCACATTACCTTGGCCAGCACTGAGTCCCGACCTCTCCCCCATCGTGCATGTCTGGGACATGCTTGGACAGAGGTTACGTCAACGTCAACAACGTCCTGCCAATGTCCAAGAACTTGCTGCTGCGTTGCAACAGGAATGGGACAATCTGGACCAAAATGACCTTAGACGTCTCATTAGGAGTATGCCACGTCGGATCAATGCTTGTTTGGCAAACAGAGGAGGATTTACCCGTTACTGACTTGGTTGTGATGCTGTGGTAACTTTGCTGTTTGACCCCGGGTATCATTTTACCCTTATAATGGTCAGTCTGTGCCTTACTTAGTCTAACGATCATTTGGAATAAATCGATGAATGTGAACTTCATTTCATTTTGTCATTTGTTTCTTCGTCAGTTCCATTAGGTGACTTTAATAACGCTTAAAAATCAAATATCCCCTACTTTTTTTGAATAGTATATATCATTACATATCGTTAAATCAAAAATCGCTTTAACTAGTGCATTATTATATAAGATGGCCATCAATCTATAAATAACTATTTCAACCCCTCCATGGGTATCGTCAGGCGGTGGCAATAATAGAAAGTTATTACAGATATCCCGCTATAGTTATTTTTATATCAAGCCAAATTATACCATAATAGACTTTAAAAGAAATATTGTATCAATACAGATTACATAAGAATTGAAAAAGGAAATATAACATAAAATATAATGGGGTTTAAAATAAGTGAATACAGCTGGTGTAAAAATGTTCATTTTAACGGTTTCGTCGCAGACACAAAATTCTTCTTAACCTGCAACTATATTTTTTCATGCCGGTGTTCTTTGTGTGACAACTCTCTGATATTTAATATCCAGAAAGCACACAAATTTATCCCCGTATCTGTTTTTCAATAATTTGTTAATGCGCTTCCTTTGTCTGTTATACGATACAGGTTCCAACCCTGGCGTCTTTGAAAAATCCCCCCTTGCGGAAAAAAGAAGTGCAAATTGGGACAATCACAGACATATGACACACAGTTGTGACAAAAACAGACATGGACGAACATTTAGACAGACATAGACATTTACATACGGGCATTTGACAGACATGAAAGTGGACGAACATTTAAACATATTATGTACATATATATATATATATATTGGGTCAATTTGGTCCGTCTGATCGTTCTGTCCGGTTGAATGGCAGGGCGGTGCAACTCTTCCTTTGGGCTTGTTGGTGAGTTTAGATCCTGGTCCATTCTTCCTTCCATTTGGGTTTGTTGTCCGGTATTGTGGTGTTAATTCATCTTTATTTCTATAACTCATTCCTTTTGTTGTTGGTTCTCTGAAGGAAGAATCCAGCACCTGAAAAGAGAGTATCTGGTCTTATGGTGATTTGGATTTTATTTCGTCTAGAAAGGCTTTGGGGAGGGGGGGGGGGCTAAGATAATAATAATAATAAAAGAATAATAATAATAATAGTAAAATAATTTAAAAGAAGAAGAGGGAGAGAGAAAAAAAGAAAGAAAGAATAGAATTTGAAAATATTTGCATTTATGGCAAGTTGGTTATGGATTGCGGGTAATTTTTATTAAAGAATTAAAAAGATACAGTAGTGCATATATATTAACTTAATGTGATCTACAATCAATACTTATTTAGTCGACAAGATATAATAAAAATATATAATCTATAAATAATCTTTATTCAGAGTTGATAAAATACAAAAATGCATATATGATGACTTTAATATGATATACAATCAATACTTATTTAGTCGAACAAATAAAGATATTGCGTTGAGTTTAGGTGTGTAGCGTTTCCCTCTTTGCGGACGGACAGCCTGATTCGTTTGTTTCGAGTATTATTAGTGGTGTGGGGTGGATGGGCTTCCTTCAAGAGGACGTTTTTGCTCATCATCCTTAGTTTTAGCGTGATTTATTTGAATGTACTTTAATTATTTAGTTTTATCATAGTATTATTAGTGTTGTAGGACGATTAGCGCTTCCCTCGAGGGGACGTTTTTGCGATTTCGTCCTACTGAGTGTGATGTAATTGATTAGTTTTATTTATTACATGTGTTTGTTCATTCCTATATTTTCAATGAAGTCCCAGATAAGCTGAGATGTCCAGTATCTTTCATCTGGTTGTGGAGAGAGGAGAGATTTGAGACAGACAGTTTTCCCCCTGTCAGTTCCTTAATCATTGTTTGACGTTCATTGTTTAATTGATTACAGTTGATTAGCAAGTGTGACGTGGTTGCAATTTGTCCACACGGGCATTTAATTGGTGTATTGGTGTGGTCTTTAATTTATGTTTATTGTTTTAAGTCTCGTGATGAGTTTGCATATTTTGATTGAAGGGTGATTGATGTAAACCTTGTCGACAAGATTGCTATCAATTTGATAGCGATGACTATTTTCTTGTTTTAGACGGGTTTTCCATGCATTTTTAATTTTATCTTTAGCTATGCTTGTAAACTCTTGACTGCTGTATTCTAAATTTTCTAATTCGTTTAGTGACAACCCCTCCTTGGCTACTTTGTCGGCTTGCTCGTTTTCGAATATATTGACATGGGAGGGTATCCATGCAAGGACTACCTCTCTTCCAGTATTCTTGAGATTTTGAATAAGGTCCCTAATTTGATGAATTGTGTCCTGCCTGCTTCTTGGGGAATCTGATTCGATGGATTGATGCTGCTTAGAGAGTCAGACAGGATGACGGCTTTTTGGTGTGTTTGCGTTGCTTGCCATTCTATTGCAGTTTTAATGGCCATCAGCTCTGCGGTGTACACAGAACAGTGTTCTGGTATCCTTTTCCTGATGTTTAGCTTTGCTTTGGGTATGTGTATGCCGTACCCTGTTGACCACTGTGTAGTATTTTTTGATCCATCTGTGTAGATTTTTAGATGATCTGTCCATTTGGTGTCTATTAATTCTAATGCTAGTGCTCTAGCTTCTATGGGGTTAACATGTTTGTTTGTGATGTTGCTTAGGTGCGTCTTAGTGGTTGGATCGCTTATTTGCCAAGGTGGAGTGACGGGGTAGGTTTTTGTCTGTATGGTTGTTCCTTTTAAATTGTGCTTATTTAAGATATCGTTTGACATCTGCCCAAATTTCATCGGACGAGTGTTTTTCCTAGAGCCTTTACGTGTAAATTGTTTGAGGCATTTATATGTTGGACATCTTTCTTTTAGTAGTTGTAGTTTGCCCCAGTACTTGAGTGACAGTTCCTCTTGCCTGAGGTCAAGCGGAAGTTCTCCCATCTCTTGTAATAGGGCAACTGTTTTGGTTCCTAAGGCTGCTCTTGTTATTAGTCTTAATGTTTTGTTTTGAATTATGTTTAGTTTGTTTAGTTGTGTATCACTTGCATTGGCATAGGCCAGACATCCGTAGTCGATTACCGAGCGGATGAGTGATCTATAGATTAATATAAGTGATATTCTGTCGCGCCCCATTGTGTCCCTCTGGATGTACTTCATCATGTTGAGTGTTTTAGATGTTCGACTAACTACGCCATCAATATGAGGCTTCCAAGATAGTTTCGAGTCGAATGTAATTCCAAGAAATTTGGCCTCTGTTTTGAATTCAATTTTTGACCTGTTAAGATTTAAATCAATTTTCCTGTTATTTTCAGTTGGATAAAACAGTATTGCTACCATTTTCCCTTCTGAAATTTTGAAACCCCAGTCATTTGCCCACTTTGAAACTTGTTTTAGGGTGTATTGAAGAGATTTTTTTATTATGCCTAAGTTGTTCGACGCTTTCCAGAACGAGCTGTCGTCAGCAAATAGTGCGGATTCTGTGCCATTCCCTACGTAACTAATAAGATCATTTATCATTATATTAAAGAGTATTGGGCTGATAACGGATCCTTGCGGTGTTCCATTTTCCATTTTGAATTTGTCACTTAAACCTGCATTATGCAAGAGCTAAATCTGATTATTGCAAGTCTTAATTTAGGCTTCAGATGTTATAGAAATTATAAATTAGATCTTTATTTAAACAACAAGACCAAAATCAACTCTGTAGACTCACGGATGGCTCGGCTACAGCTCGGATTTAAATAGGATTTCACTAATTGATTAAATCAAATAAGGGGTAACCTGATGAAAATACGTCAGTTAGATCGAGGCTAAATGATAGAGTGTACTTAGCGAGGCCGCTGTAAAGCGTTTCCATATGCCATTGAAAACTTTACTTGATAATCGAGATATGTAGGTGGAGTTAACGCCTGTCAATCAAACGATCGGCGAAGGTGAAGACGCATTTCGCTACCATTTTTAGTCAAATATTACAACGATGATAACTATGTTCAGAATAAAGTAATTTGACTGAATTTTTCAATATATTCTTCTTTCATCATCTACTTTTGAACTGTTATCGCAAGAATGGCCAACTCTCTATAGAAATCTCCCATAATGTATCTTTAAGCAATTACCTACGCGTACTCTGATATGCCTATCGTTAAGAAAGTCTTCTATCCACTTGTACATTCGGCCTTTGATTTTTGCATTATGGAGTTCGTGTAAAAGACCATCCACCCATACAAGGTCAAAGGCCTTTGTAAAGTCGACAAAGATTGCACAAAGGTATCGTTTGGCTGTGAATGCTCTGGAGATGTCATGTTGTAATCTAATTATATGGTCTGCTGTTGACCTATCGGAGCGATAGCCGCTTTGCTGATTTGTGAAGATGCTGTTGCTTTCACAGTGAAATTTCAGTCTATTTGTGATTATTGTTTCTAGTGTTTTGCATAGAGTAGATGTGAGACTTACTGGACGATATGACGTTGTTTCATTTTTATCTTTATTGGGTTTATGTAGTGGAACGACTGTTCAACTCGTCTATATTAATGGGACTATTTAAATCTGATTCATTATCTGCATCCTCGTGCACTATTGGGGGTTGATTTTTTAAGAATGAATTTTTAATAACCTTGAATGTTTCATTATGTCGACTGTTGCTAGAGCCGTCTGCATAAGTCTGTCCTGACAAGTTTGCTTTGTGCGTTAGGGTGTTTCACTTTTCACTTTTTTTGGAATTTCTAAGGTTTCTACCCGTCACCGAAGTCCACTTGGGGTCAAACTTACACCATAATATTTTCAGAATTTTCTTGCCAAAAATGGCTGCCGGCGGCCATTTTTTCCAAAATGTAATGTGTCTATTTTATGCTTTTCAGGTACGTAGAGTCCATTCCCACTATCTTAAATGAGATTGTCAGAATCCAAGATGGTGGAAATCCAAGATGGTGCCCCAAATCTTCTATTTTCGTGACATGGAAAAGCATTTTTCAAAGACTATGTCATTCTGAACATCATTTTGGCCCCGATAATAAATTTTGCATTCATAAAATTCATTATCAGTGCCAAAATGATGTTCAGAATGACACTGATCTACCTTTGGTTGAAAATGGCGGAAGGTAATGAT